ACAAGTATGTAGTGACCTTCTTTATCTCTTCTGATCATTCTTGGTTTGAAGTTTACATTGTCTGCAAACAGAATAACTATCCCTGCTTTTTTAAGGGTTCCTGTTGCATGAAGTATTGTTTCCCATCCTTTGATTTTCAGTCTAGGAATTTTCTTTTGGATTAGATGGTTGGATGTTATTTGTTGATCCATTATCCCAGTATCCTTTAATTGATGAATTGAGGCCAGTGATCAGTTATAACTGATATATATTGGTTTATTTTTGACATGTTATCTTTCTGCTATTGGTTCTTTACCGTTCCCCTGCGTTTGTTTGCCTTTCTTAGTGGCTTTTTCCTTTTGGTGTTCTTGAAGTTGTGCTTATTTTTGTGTCTATCTAGAATATCTTACAGTCTTTTTTGCAGTGTTGGTTTGATGGTTATGAAGTTCTTCAGTTGTTCTTTGTTGTGCAGGTAACTTATTTCTGCATCAGTTTTGAAGTACAGTTTTGCAAGGTGCATCAATCTGGGTTGGAAATCTTTTTCCTTTAGGATCTAAAATACTTCACTCTATGCTCTTGATTTCATTGATTGTGTTGAGAAATCTGTTGTGATTCTGATGGCCTTACCTTTGTAGGTGATCTGTCACTTTTCTCTAATAGCTTTTAATATTCTGTTCTTATGTTGAATTTCTGAGATGTTGATTGTTATATGTCTGCGTGTAGTTTTATTTGGGTTTTGGCTAATTGGAGTTCTATATGCTTCACTTATATGTATGTCAGTTTCCTTTCCTGTGTTTGGGAAATTTCTGCCATTACTTACCTAAACAGTCTTTTGATATCATTTGTGTTGTCATCTTTTTTGTTTATACCTATTAATCTTATATTGTTTTGCTTTGAATCATCTTGCAACTGTTTGTTATTTCCTGATTCCTTATTATTTTAAAAGATCTTTCCTTTATTGTTCACTTGCTCAATCTTCAAGGTCTGAAAATCTATCTTCACATTCAATTAGGGAGTTTTGCCAGCTTTCGATGGAATTTTTGATTTTTTGACTGTTTGAAGCTGTTTCAGCATTCTGTTTCTGTCTTATATTGTTCATTCAAGGCTTCCGTTTTTTGCAGTGTTCTTCAATTTTTTGCAGTATGTCTTCTTTAGATGTGTCCAGCATTTCTTTTATTATGTTTATCATTTCTTCTTTTACCTGAGAGATTATTTCTGGTCTGAGTTCCTTACAGCTTCCTGGAGTTGTTTTACTTCAGTCCCTATCATGTCAGGAGTTTTAGGTATATGGCTTACATTTTCTTCTATGTCCATGTCTCCTAGGCTTGCTGGGGATGGCCTGGAAGTTTGTGATTGCATTTTGCTCTTTTGTTTGTCATTTTCTTGTATTCCCTTGGGAAAACTGAATGCAATGTCTCACTTGTTTCCTGGGTTGAGAATACCTGTGTGTATTGCAGGGTGTTTCCCCAGTTGAGTGGAGGTCATTAATCAGGCCTTACTAGTTCCCTAGTCGCACATGGAGTCTCCTGAAATGTAGGTCATACATTGCACGGGTCTTGAGTATACCCTATGAGGTACTCTGAAGCTCCCTGGCTGCTTGAATTTGCTGAGTGGCACTCTACTAGGTTCTGAATGGCGTGCCAAGGCTGAACATATAGATAAAGTATGCTTTATCTGTATGGCCAGCAGCATGGCTAGGCAAAGCTGCACAGCTGCTTGGGGTCACTGGATGGGACCGTGTGAGGTTCTGAGCAATTTGCTGAGGTTGCTCTGCTAGAAGGGGTTTACTGTGTAGGCTTTCAGCTTGAGACAAGGAGCACAGGCAGCTCCCTGGCCACTGGGGATGGCTGGGCAGGACCCAACCAGGCCCTGAGGAACCTATTAGGTCCTTTGGTGATTGAGAACGCTGGGCAGGGCCATACCAGGTTCCAAGCAGCATGCCAAGGCTGCATGGCTGGATGGAGATCACTGTGCAGGCTTTCAGACTCACAACAGGAAGCTCAGGCAGCTTCCCTTCCACTTGGGGTCGCTGTGTCGGGCCCCAAAACAGTGTTTTATGTTGCCTCAGTTGATGCCCAAGCTAGCCTTCTGTGATTGAGCAGTGCCATCTGAGCCTGTGCTGGTTAAGCTTAATTATGTCAACTTGATGGTCTTGGGAGCCATTGAGCAGATGGGTAAAGCACACCCGGAATGCATTTCTTACATCACTTTTATGTATCTGTGAAGTACATTTTTTGAGTCACTTAATTTCCTTGAATGTTTTAAAATTATGACTCTGAAGATTGAAAGACAAAGATGTTAATGCTTTATTAAAACTGAAAGGATCAGATATCAGATAATTACTCCTGTATAGTATTTACTGTGTGGAATTTGTCAACATAACTAGCAATTTTTCTGAATATGCTTGTGTTGGGACTTACAATGCAATCATTGTACAGTTCACTGAAAGCGCATATGAAATATGCTCAGGTTTCAAACTTTGATCAAAATTTCACATACTCTTTGGGGTCTGGCAGACAAAAGTTCCTAAACAAAGGTCTTTATTCCTCCCTCATTGAGATGTCAGTATTTTTTCTCACACCCAAGTCAGCTGTCCAGACAATCTTCCTTAGCACTCACCTTTTTTATGTATCAGAATTGTAATCCAGGCTGATCCTTCTTGTTTGCATTCTTTTAACTTGTGCTTTTGACACCCTTCTCCCTGCTCCCTGATTGGATTTCCCCACCTTTACTTAGTAAGTAATTTTGCCCATAGGAAACCCAGATGTTTATTGTCCAAAGAGAGATAAGACACTTAAAAAAAATAAAGAACTCTCTAGCTTGCCAGTTGTCTAGTATATATTTTGATGAGTTATTCATTTACATAATGTAAAATGTACCAAAACATTATGGCATTTGCATCTTTATTTCATATCTTTGTGGTAAATATTGATATTGATGGTGGAAAATCATGGTCAATGAGAAACTATCCCTTGGTAATTTGTATGAGAGAAAGATACAAGTCAAAAGGTCTTTACTAGTGAGCAGTTCGTTTTTATTTTCTGTACATTTTTAATAGATTTTTTTATTCCATGTTTATTACATTTCCAAAATAAGTTCCTTGGATAGAATTCTGTAAGTAAATAAAAGGATGACTTGGAGGTATTCTAGATGCATCTATGGAGACTTAAGCATTTTCACACTAAGAAAATACTCAGGACAGTGCTTCACATATACAGGTACTCAATGAATATTAGATAAAAAATAAAAAGCCTAACTCAAAGATTTGAAGGTGAAGGGTGTTAGTGTAATGTTTCTGCCTGCAGAGTTACCACAAGTAATCATTTCTTAGTATGGATATACCCTCAATATTTAGTATATACTGACAAAAAGATCCTAAGGAAAACCTATATGATATTCACAATCTATAGAAGATATCATAAATTTACAGTAAAAGAAGACTGAGGGCATTGAAAAATTGGTAGCACCATAGTGCATTTATGTTTGGAGAGTACTGTATTGTAACAAAGATTATTAGGGAATACATAAATGGGCATTGTCAGCTTCTTGCCCAATAAAGGATATTTTCAAGGAACCATGTTGAGAATGTGGGAAATAAAAATCTTTTGTGATATTAGAGTATTAAAATGCTTACATGATACTGGGTTATCAGACTTTGCATTTTTTCAAGTAGATATGTGCATTTCCCCCAAGTTACTGCAAAATGTATTTCTAAAACATTCAGAATTCTCTGTTGAGATTTATTCTATGTGAACCGAACAAATTTGACTTGGTAATTTATTTTCTTTTTATTAGTAGAACCTAGTGAGATCTTTTATTTATAGCTGTGTTGTGGTTATCTTTTGAGATCTTCATTTCTGCCTTAAACATCAAGCTGAGCTATCTAATGAACCTGTAACTGTGCAGGCAGTTCCGAGTATCCCACATAGGTTTGAACATTTCAGATCTACGAAACATGCTGTCAAGAAAACAAGCAATGGTGAGAGAGTGTGGCTTATTTTCGCAATAGCATGTTGTATTCAATTTTAATCTAAGTTGACTGCTGCTTTGAAAGAAAATACCTCCAAAGTTCATGTTATTTTACTCCCTGGATTTGAGATTTTAAAAAGAAAGAAAGAAATTAGCAGCAGCTTAGCCAAGTCCATAGCAATTACTCTGATGGGGTGGTTAGTACTTCTAAACCAAAATGTGCCAAAAGCTAAAGAGGTTTGCTAAACAATAAGTTGTTTATTCAGTGTAGTCCTAGTAGCATAAAAATCAGAGGAGTCCGTGAACTGAAGTGTTGTCTTAAATACTCAATACTCTCACCATTGTAGCAATTACTCAACCTTAGGTATTTCTGCAAAGAAGCATGGCCCTATAGGCATGGCTTGGTAATATTATGAAATAGACAAAATGGGCCCAAACCCCTAATCTCTTAGTACCCTTGTTCATCAAATCCCATTTTCCAGTTCTTGTTTTCTCTCATGGTGTTATTTTTCACACTTGGAAAAACTAAGAGTCTTGTTTTTAGGGCTGGATTTAGAAATCATATAGAGGGTTGTATTCTCCTAAAATTACAATGAGCAGTCTATTCTACCTTGGTTCTTTTTATTTGTATTATTTTTGAAGATATTTTTACTGATTTCAATTCCCTGTGCAAAAAGGTTTTCTCCTTTCAGCTAAAGAGAGTAAATCTGAGTACATTGAGAGTTGATTTTACTGGAAATACTTATTCAAACTGTGTTACTTTGATGAGTCACTGTTTTAATTATCCATTTGTGGTGAGAGGTTGGCTCATTATGGATTTTTTCAGTTTTGACAGCTTTTTGTTGCTCACAGTCATTGTCAGCTTTGCCTTAAGTGAAAGTTTATACACAGGTTTGTTTTTGTACTAGCTGTCATACTTTAATTTCATCTTTCCTGCAACAAGCTCACATTTCATCCAAGTTTGCAAAACCCGACTGACTGCAAACATGAGTATTCTGTTATTATTAAAGGAGTTTCACTTGTTTTAATGCTGCTATGTTTGAATTCCACAGCACAGCTTGAGGCAAGCCTTGGAACCTTCTATGCTCCATCAAGACCACTTTTAGATACAACTGTCTTGGAATATAGAGACCGAATCAGCAAATATGCAAGGAGATTCTTCCATCACTTGCTCAGGTGAATCATACCTTTGGATTGATTAATGTCAGACTAATTACCTATTTCAGGAACCATCGTTAATGAGCTTATCACGAAGCAGGGCTGTTGCTGTGTGTAGTATATCTCTTTAAAAGTCTTCTCTTGCTATTCTTTAATTTGTTTTTGTTTTCCTCTTATGGAACTATTTCAATATTGTTTAGGAATTTATGCCATCAACATTCTTAAAGACATTTTCCCCTTTAATATGAAAGCAAAAATTACCAACTATGTAAAGTCAGTATAAAATTAACTGAATTTTGTTTTCATTACCAGAGTAATGTTTTCATTTAAATTAAAGTTAAATGCATGGATGTGCTGTAAAGCTCTAGGACAATCATGGACTTGTTTAACTTTCAGAATTACAATAGGAAGATTATCCTCTCATATATGTCGCAATTTGAACATTTTATTGTACCTCACTTGTTCTGCTTTAATAAAGTTTAATACATCTATGTTACATATTACTAGTAAGTCATGAAATTGCTATGAGAAAAATAGAAGTTGAAAGGCAAATACATATAGTATACATGCATACACAGAAGCAAAATAGGATGAATGAGTGGCTATTGGAAGGGAGATGAATTATTGGATAGATAAAAAGACTTGGGTACACATAGTGTGATAATACTGTAAATAAAAGCAAAGAAGTGATTAGCACAAAATTTAGAATGGATGAAAAGAAGTAAGATGGAACTGGCCCATCGGATCCTCCAAGATATTAGTAGTATTCAGTTTCTTAAGATGAGTGGTATATAAAGGGTTTGTTAAAAATTATTTATATATATATACCAAGAAAAACTATATCAAGGGGTTGATTTTAGAGTTTTAAATTTTCTAATAATGTAATCTGTTATAGTACTTTTACTCTTTTAAGGACTTTAGATTTATTCTTTCATTTTTTCCATCAGAACAACCCTATAAAGGGAGCATTATCATTTGATAGAGGAGTAAACTGAATCACAGATAAAAAGTAGCTTGCTTAGATCAATTGAAAGGTAACTGATAATACTGGATCTTGAAATGGTTTTCTATATCACCTGCTCCTTACTATTTCCTTAAGACTGTATGCCATTAATTGTGTAGTTTAAGATGTTTCCTTATAAGGTACCTAGAAATCGTTATCCATTCAAGAGTAGGCTGACTGATAAATGTACTTGTCTGTACCAGTAGAGGAGAGAACCTTAAGACTGGTCAGAACTTGAGGTAAATGTTATGTCATTAGTTTTTCTATACATAGAATAACACTTTGAACCCAATGCAACAGTAAAGCCTTTGGAAAACAGTATTTTAGAAGCTAAGAAACATTTTATATTGCAAGGGTTATTATCTGTAATTGAATCTTGCCTTTTTTATCTGAATGATATTAGCATATTCTAAGAGGTTCTCCCTAAAAGAAGCTGTGTTCATGAATGAACATGCACCTTTAGTGTTGAGGTTGACTTTACATTCATTTGATTTTAGGGCTTTGTTCTTTGCCCTCATTATTGTTTTATTTTCCCCATGTCTGGGGAAAATTAATGAGTTAATTTCTTTCCCAAAGAGCCAAAAGAGGCAAACATGAAGCAGAAGTTTTAGAAGCATACTTCATAGATCTTATGCATTTGTTTAGGTTTTGGCTAAACATAGTATTCTATAACCACCTCATTGGTCCTAGATTACATATATATATATATATATATATGTATGTATATATATATATATATATATGTATTTTTTTTATCAGTACTGGAGATCAAACTCAGGACCATGCGCTTGCAAGGCAGGCACTTATGCTGCTGAGCTAAATCCCCAGCCCCTGGATTGCTTATATTCTAATATGTAATTTTTTTGTTCATTGGTTTTCCTCAACTGCAATTTTCTTATTTTTAGATACATTTTGATAAAGTGACTGTTACTGCATCATTATTCCTAGACTCTAAATATTCTACATGGTTACATATGGAATTGAATGTTTCCCCTTGGAGAATGCTAGCTTTTTCATGATTCCCTTTTTTAATGCTTTGCTACTATAAACTAGTAGCAATGTACATTGCTACTATGTACTATGAAAATTGTGCAGAAAGTATTTTACCTTTTTGTGCTCCTCAGGCAAGAAGATAACTCATTAATTTTTCCCAGAAGCAAGAAAAATAAAAGCGAGAAAAAAGAGTAAAGCCCTAAATTCAAATAAATGTGACATCAACCTAACACTATAGGTGTATACTCATTCATGAACACAGCTATGTATATAGTAGCCTGTACATAGTATTATGAAAAAAAGAAGCTTAAAAGAAATTAAATGAGACAGTTTAAGTTGAAACCATTCATTTGTTTAACCTGTTGCCAAGAAATTCTCCTGCTTAAGGAAAGATAAACAGGAAAAATGCCTTTTGTATTTATGAAATGCTAGAATTCCATTATTTCCTGTGGTTTAGCTTGTCATTATTTAATGCTCTTTTTAAAAGTTATTAAATAATATAGTAAGTCCTAAAGAGTAAATATCAATCATAAGAAACTTTAAGTTAAAGATGTATAGAAGTCCCTTGAAAATTAGAGATTACCTAAAATCACTCACATAAGGAATCCTTGCCTGAGTCCAGGTTGAGTTAGTTTAATAAAAATAAAACAAAATAATAAAAAGCCCAATAAAACATTACATGCATTTTAATTTTATCCAGCATATAAAAGGTAACACTGTAGTATGAATTTATGAAAGTAGACAAGTATACTGTTCACTAAGGTTCTTTAGGCCACAGCCTAGAATGATCTACAGAGAAAAACTTCCTTGTCAGATCATTTTAAAATGCTGGAAAATATATATTAAATATTTGTTGAAAGGATGGTTGAGCAGGCAAGAAACTAAAGGAAACACTCAGAAGTTGAAATGACAGGGCGCTGGATTCCATAAGAGTAAGCAAACTGAAAGTTCATCCTGAGGGCTTCTTCTGGCACCTGGCAGTTGGTGCTCGTACAAAAGCTACGCATTGAGAGGACAGGAGACAAAGCTGAAGGCTCAAGCAGAGTAGGAGACTGGATCAGAGACCCACTTAAACCGGGGCCCCTGAAAGGCAGCGTCTTTCCTGAAGGGAGGGAAGGGGTGTATGAGATGCAAGAAGGAATGGTGGCAAAGAAAATAAGGATAAATTTGCAGGAACCTAAGCAAAGTTGATTGTGTAAAGCGTATGTACTAACATCTAATTCAGGGGATCAGAATCTAAGGTAAAATAAAATCCTGACAGAAACAAAGTAAAGAGAGTTAATATATTCCAATTCTTTATGCTTTTCAAGAGAACGATAAATATATTTATTAATTTGATATTTTATTAAGTAAATGTACATGGTAGAATTTTTGGGTGATCACTAAAGGAAAAGAAATAGAGTACAAATTTTCAAGCAAGTGCAGGAAAGAATGTTGGATAAGGAAACAGACCCAAAAGATGGCAAGAATTAGGGTACAAGGCAGCCTGCAGTGGAAGCATAGAAATAGTAAATACACATAGTAAATAAAGCAGCTTTCTTAGTGTACTATATATTTAATTTGCAAACACTGCTGAAACATTTTTCTAAGCTTTTTAAAGATACATAAAACATAGAAAGTTTAAAAGTCAGAGAATGTAAAAAAAATTATACCAAATGAATATTCAAGAGATCTATCTTCAAAAAAAAATATTAAAGATTACTAGAGAGCAGCATTACCAGGAAAAGCAACTTACCAGTAAGATCCTACAGGTTTAAATGTGTATAGCTTAGCTTCAATACACATAAAACAAAAATTGACAGACCCATGGTTATGGTTAGAGATTTTTTTCACCTGTGTGACTTTCACCTGTCACTGGTGTGGTAATTGATAGATTAAGCAAACAAAATATCATTAAGAAAATAAAAAATTGAAACAATAAAATTAAAAGTTTAACGCTGGGTGTGGTGATGATTGCCTGTATAGCTACTCAAGAGGCTGAGGCAGGAGGTTTATTTTCAGCTGGGATTTCCAGCCCAACCTTGGCAACATAGTGAGAGCCTGTCTTTTAAAAAAAGACAAGAAGAAATTAATGGATTTATGTGGAGTACCATATCCAAGGACTGGAAATTATGCTTTCTTAAATAAACATTTATATAAACTGATCATATGCTAGACTAAAGGGTCAGTTTTATTTAGTTAACAAGTAATTACTGACTTCTGCATGCCAGACACAATCTGTGTAGCTAAGGTATAGCAATAAACAAAATAGATTTTAAAAACCATCAGTGGCATCACAGGGTTTATTATAGTGAAAGCAACAATATGTAAATAAGTAGGTAAAATGTATCGTGTGTCAGGTAATTTTTTATTAGTATATGTTTGTTATACATGATAACTGCATTCATTATGGGGTGAATTATATTCATCATTGATATACATATGTATTGAATCTTGACATTTTATCCCCCATTCGTCACCTCCTGCCTTTCCCTTTCTCTCCCTCCCATCTCAACAGAACCTATCTATATGCATTCTTCTGCAAGTGGAGAACCATTTTACATCATTTATGAAGAAGGCTACTATTCTCTAGCATATGTTATTGATTCCTTTGTCAAAAATCAAATGAGTGAAGCTACTTGAGATTTTTTTCCCTGCATCCATGGTGGCAAACCTATGGTACACATGCCGCAGCCAGTTGTTCGGCATCATTGAAAGTTCTAAAAGGTTCATCATCATTGCTGTATTCTATTCCATGGGTCAGTGTGTCTGTTTTGTTCTAATACCAGGCTGTTTTTATTACTGTAGCTTTGTAGTATAACTTGAAGTCCAGAATTATGACGCCTCTTTATTTGCTCTGAATTGCTTTAGCTCTTCTTCATATCATCTGGTTCCATATATATTTTAGAATTGTTTTTTTTTTCTAGTATGATGAAAAATACTAATGGTACTTTGACTGGAATTGTTATATATATATATATATATATATATATGTGTGTGTGTGTGTGTGTGTGTGTGTGTGTGTGTGTGTGTATAATTTTGG